CCAGAACCCTCTGAAGATTCTGCTCATTTAAGTGAAATTTCAAATAAGTCTTTAGAGGAAGAGTTGACGTAAGTCAATCAAACAAAGTAAGAGAGGGCAGAATAAAGGAATATGCCTATCCAGCAATCACTTGTTAGTATTTTACTTGTATGTCTCATCCATCACAATAATCTTGAGTCAGTGTCATGTTCATTTTATAGATAAAGAAACTGGCCCAACTTAGTTGGTAAAGGCTCAGCTCATTTGTGAACCCAGATCTGGCTGACTGTAAGCCCGTGCAGGTCTTGTCACCTTAGAACACTGTTTCTCAAATTAGGGAGGGATCCTTGTTTGTTAGGTGATAGAAATGATAGTGTTCACAGAAACCAACCAAGAGTGTCACTAATGGTGTTATCTTCCCTTATAGCCTTCAGCTTATGTATTACAGATTTTTAAAGGGATCAAGTCAAGGTGAGTCCCAGTGCACAATTAGGGTTCCTCATGTAGCACCATATATCGAGTGCTTATGTGAACATGGAATAAAGAAAAATTACAACTGATGATTATGTTCCTTAGAAGTTTATGTCAAAAATTTAATGAAGAATAATTCATTATAATGTTCTTTTGAAATACTAGAACTAAGGCTTCTAGCCAGGTGTGGTGGAACATGCCTGTAATCCCAGCATTCAGGAGGCTAAGACAGGAGATCACTCAAGAGTTCAAGCCAAGTCTAGGCTACATAGTGAGTTCAAGGTCAGCCTGAGCTTCATAGCTTGACCCTGTCTCAAAAAACAAAAAAGAACTAGGCAGTTTCTTCAAAAGTATGGAGATACTTTTAAGAACAAGTGAGAGGTTTATGTTGTAGGTAATAAAATAATTCAAACCATCTGTGTGGGCTCATGCCTATAATTCCAGCATCCTGGGAGGCTGAAGCAGGAGGATTGTAAGTTCAAGCCCAACCTGGGCAACTTGGCAAGACCCTGTTTCAGAGTAAAAAATTAAAAAAAGGAACTGAGGCAGTAGCTCAGTGTGAAGGCTCTGTGTCCAATCCCTAGTTCAAAAAAAGAAAAAATCAGAAGTACCAACAATGTTAACATTTTTTCTATATGTTTTATTTGGCTTATTATCTATGTACACATAGTTGGAATCATACAGTTTTTTTTTCCTTTTTTACATACTTTTTGAACTGTTGTATTGTTAAATATTCTTCAAAAACACATCATTGGATTATTCAAAATATTCCATTGAACAAGTAATTACTATTGGATGTTACATTTGTTTCTCATTTTTTACTATTACCAGTAATGCTTCAGTGAAAACCTTCACATATAAATCTTTGTCATCATTACTGAATAATTTTATAGAGTCCTGGTTGCCTAATAATTGATCTAATACACATGGGCTTTTTAAAGTTTTATACTTCCAAATTATTTTCCAAGTGCTTATAACTGATTTTTACCAGGCTTTAAAAAGTTGTTTAGCAATTCGAGAAGCAAAAAGTGGTCTTATCCTTTATTTATTTTTTTACTGTTAATGAAGTTAAAATTTCATATTTTTCACCCCTTTGTATATTTCCTTTTTTAGTTACTATCCTCTTTGTGCCCTTAGTAGTTTCACTTATGATTTTTAGAATTTTTAATTTTGTTTTTCATATATTTTTGGAATAATTTTATGATCTACCTCTTGGTTTTATGTATGTTTGTCTTACTGAAAATTATTTTCATAATGGATCAAAATATCTACATATAATTTAAGTAAGACCATCTCAAGATAATGATGAATTTCACTGGAGACATATAAATGAAAATCAATTCATGGAGGTATAATACATTCAAAGAAGGAAGAGTGTATTTTAAAGATGTAATTTTCTTGAACTAAGTAATAGATTTCTGATCCCAATTGAAACCTTCTTAAGATTACTAATTAGAATTTATGAAATAATACTAGACCCGATTCTAAAAGGAGCTGGTCTCCAAGATTAAAAAGCTATGAAATGAGCAAAATTAAATAGTGTAGGAATGGTGTCAGAATCAGTAATCATCATGAACTCAAAAGCCCTGAAAAACACAGATTCATGTATGGTTTTTTTGAAAAAGTATCTTATAAAGGTGGAATACTTAAAAGGTTTGAGGAATAGTGTTTATCTGGAGAAAAAAAGACATGCCCAACATGCCGTGAGCCACACAGCATGTCAAATAGATTACAATATGAATATTAAAAATAACACTGCCAAGCAAGTCCTCTAGAATAATGATGAATATTCAATTTAACTCTGACTGAGCAAGATCTATTTATTCAAGTATGAAAGTAATAGAAAAGTAGTAAGAAAAAAGATTTCATAATTGACCATGTTAAGGACTATGACATTTTCAATATTCATCTTTTCTTTTTCAGTGAACTGGAAGAGTCTCTACTTGTGCTACCTTTCTCTTATGTCCCGGACATTCTTAAACTCTTCAATGAGTTCATTCAGCTGGGATCTGATGTTGAACTTATATGTAGATGCCTCTTCTTTCTCCTCAGGTAACACCTTTTTGCAAAGAAACCATGTCTACTTAAAGAACTGCTGAGTGGTGTGATAACTGAAGCTATCAGCCCTTGGAATTAAAAATACTGTGTTTTGGTTTCAGAAACTTCACAATTTCAGTGTCATCTGCCCTACATGTTTCTAACCCTTTGGAAACATTCTTACCTTTAAAACGGGTAGTGATGACCCACTTCATAGCAGTAAGATGTTGCTCAGGAATGCTTAATCCATTTTAGGTTTCAAGGTGCAGTCCAGGATAGTAGTAGCTCTGATTCTAGCCAGTATGCCAAAAGCCAATTAATAAAGAGCCCATTTGCTTGATTTGTTGTATTTAATTTATGCTAGCTGGTTCTGTTTTGTCCTCATAACAACATTTTAGAGAATAACTAGTTTATTTCGATATGTGCAAATGAAAATATAGGGGCATATATGGAGGCAGTCCAAGGAACATATAGAGATTATGTTCATTATGTTCTGTTCTTAAATGTGAAGGATTTGTCATTATTATGTGATTGAGAAGAATGTATTTGTAAAGACTTAAGATATTATTCTCATTTCCCATTTTCTGACCCTCCCAAGCTGTTTCAGTGGAGGACAGGAATAGAGACAAATTGAATGTTGCTTAAAACACCCTTATTGAAAACAAAAACTGATCAGCCAATACAAATGGCTAAACAAGTATATTTGGTGGATTTACTGAATAAATATTTAGTGAATTGGTCTGTTTTCCTGATTCTTAGCTCTCCATTCCTTATATTCTTATCAGGATGGTACCAAGAGAATAGTATGATATGTTTACATTTTTCTGTAGCCATGTTTATAATTTTGGGCAAGTTGTGAAGGCAGAAATTCAGATTGAGCAGTACATGGCATATGTGCTATTGAATCAGGGTCACTTCTAGCATTCCCAAGGGCTGTCATGGATGAGCACTACCTGAAGGGTAGCTATAGTGGAGTCATGAGGTATTTGGCACTGTAAGTCAGAGTGTGACTCTCTGACAAATGACTTTTTTGCTGTGGAAAAATTTAAGAAATGTCAAAAATCTGTGGTCACCTGGTAGATTGGTGGGAAAAGAATTAGCTTTGCAATGAGTTCAGCATGTGATAAGGTTTAGCATAACATTTTAAAAATTGTCATCAAAATGTACTAACTGGTGAGGAAAGAAACTTTCTAAGGTTTTGTTTTTTGCTAGAAGGTTTTCTCTATTCCAGTGACGTGGGATTTTGTTGCTGTTGCTTTGATATTATGGCTGTCTACTACTTCTAGGAAGGACAGCCAGGGCCAGAACCTCTCTTTGCAATGTGACTCTGTATTGTTTTTCTGTTAGGATTCACTTTGGACAGATCACTAGCAACCAAATGCTTGTGCCAGTGATAGAAGAGTTAAAGGAAACAACGATCTTGAAAGTCAGGCAAGTCCGGGTAAGTGTCTTTGTGTAGAGATACACTAATGCAGCAAAATCCTAGCATATATGTGACTTGGAAGTAGCATAGTATACTGTTTTGTCTTTAGCAGTACTAGCCAAATATAAATCTGTATTTGAGATAAAGTTTTTGTTGGATCTGGTATGGCTAGCTAAAAAAACAAAAACAAGAAAATTTTTTAGCAAGGGAGGAACAAGTAATATCTGAAGCTCTTGTCCCCTGACTCACATATACTGCTCTATTGAACTGAAAGAACATAATGTTTGTTTTTTGTTTCTTTTTCTAGGATGTTATAGGCTTCAATATGGCAGGTCTTGATTATCTCAAGAGGGAATGTGAGGCGAAAAGTGAAGTCATGTTTTTTGCCGAAGCTACAAGCCAGTTGGAAGAGAAGAAGAGGAAGAGGAAAAAGAGGGAGAAGATGATTTTAACCCTGACTTAGAACTGAAATTTGGTGCCTTTTGCTACTTTTTCCTTAAAAGAATTTCTAAACTAAGCAGTACTACAGTTGATATCATCTTAAAAATAACAAATAACAGAAGACTTCATTGCAGAAGATCTCGGGATGCAGCTTCCAGCTTTGCCTGAGGAAATTCCAACACAGGACCAGGTGGCACCATTTCTTGCTTTTAAAAGCACGACTGTTTTAAAAATCTTTTGAACTCTGAAAGGTTTGACCTCCTTTTGAGACAATTAGATGCATAATTGATTGCCCTCTATCCATAATGGCAGTATCATGAACCTCTGGAGCTGAAAATGACCATAAAAACTATCTAGAATAGCATCCTTAAAGCATAACCTCTTCCTGGTTATTATATCTGTATATAAGATCTTAATTCTCTTTATACTTTTCCGAATAAAATAGTTTCTCATTAAAGAGAATTAAGATCCTTTGCTGGATTTCCGAGTAATTTATATATTGTGTATACACCTGTGCATGAATGCACGCGCGCATGTGTGTGTTTGTGTGTGTGTGTGTGTGTGTGTGTCTAGATTTGGGGTTGTGGGAATATTCTAGGAAAAGAGATTAACATGGATACTTTGAACCTAATCTTTTCTGTATGGGAAGGTTTTAAATTACTAAATCATATTCTGTTAAATAGTCTACTCAGATTTTCTTGATCTTCTATGAGTTTGTCCATTTCATCTAAGGTCCTATGTTGTAGTGCTACCATTTTCTTCCCAGACTCAGAGGTGCAGGTTTTGTGCTTAGGAGATTTGTGTCCCAAATCGCAGATCTCTTCAGCATTGAGCATATTCACTGAAGTGAGATAAGAAATATGGAGTTATTTTGGGGGCAGAGTAACAGTAAAGAGTGAATTTTGACATAGTATTCCTGAAGGCTACACTATGAAAAAGCAAGAGAATAGACTGTATGATGTGCTCTGGCTGATCTCCAAGGAATCCAGCCTAAGCAAAGGTTATTTTTTTCCACCAGGGAGAGAAGCTACTTAATTCTTGAAAAAATATCTTAATTTTTGATGAGAACATAGGCTGAATCCATATCCTGTTTCTGCTTCATAGAGTTGTTCATCAGAATATAAGTTGCACAATTTTCCATTAACATTTTTGATAGTTTCCAAACCAAAACAAACTCAAGAGCACTATAGATGTGTGTCATTAATAACTGCTTTTCTATTAAAAAGTGCTGTTTTCCATAGCTTTGCTGCCATCTATGATTGTTTGACAATACTGGGGAAATTAAAGCTTTTTCTATCTGACAGGCAGATATGTCCCTAATGAAAGAGAAGGTGAACTTGTCATAGATAAAGTGATGTGTACAGTAGGTAGCTAGATCATAACTTTTGGTCACAGTACTTGAAACTCCTTAACCTTAAAGGATTGAGGCCAACAAGTGCATTAAAAGTGAATTTTAAGTCAAACAAATTTGTAGCCATTAAGTCAGCATTTATTGGCTTAGACATTGGCTCTTTTATAATCAATACAGAAACCATGTGATGAATAATATCTTATAAATAATGCTATGAGTAACTTGTTGAAAGTCTAATGCCACAAAGAAAAACCTCATTAATGGCTTAGTAGGAGTAAAGTTCATAAGCTTGTTATATATAGTGTATGCAACTATGTAATATGCGTGAACATCCATTTAGAGAAGCTATGATTAACAATTTTGAAATTCTGTAGCTAGATGTTAGATGCTACTATAGTTTGGGTCTTAAGTATCCGTCAGAGGCCCATGTGTTTGTTAAAGGCTTGTTCCCAGTGAAGTGTTATTAAGAGGTGGTGGAAACTCTTATGAGGTGGTGACTAGTGGGAGGTCTTCAGATCCCTGGGTGCATGCACTTAGAACAGTGGAACCTCTGCCCGTTCTTCCTCTCTTGCCATCAAGTGGGTGATTTTTCTCTGCCACATACTCCTGCCATGAAGTGGTGTCTCATCATAGGTCCAATCCACACAGCAAATCAGTACTGGACTAAATCCTCTAAAACTACATAAAGCACTTGAACTAGTCAGCTTTCTGTTACTATAACAATACCTGAGATAGTCAGCTTATAAAGAGAAAAGAGTCATGTTGGCTCACAGTTTTAGAGGTTTCTTTGATTTTAGAACAGGGTGAACAATCTGCATCGATTCATTCTCCTGCATTCTTCTCCAGATTTCCCAGCACCATTTGTTAAAAAGTAGGTAGAATATTGATGTAATAAACTAAAGCAGACATGTTGCTAAGGAGAGAAGGAAGGAAAGAAAGGAAGAAGAAGGGAGGGAGGGAAAAGAGAGGAAGGAAAGGAAAATAAAGAAAAATGGACACTAAGGGCAGTTCTAGTGAAGTCTCCAAAGGATGTGATGATGACAGTAGAGAAAGTTACCATCTTAGAGAATTTATGTATTTTCATGAACAGAATATGGAAATAAGAACATTAAGGGTGCTTCTGATTAGGCCTTAGACAGAAATGAGGAACATGTCACTGGATATTAGAGAAAAGGTAATCCTTATAAAGTGGCAGAAAACCTAGCCAAATTTAGTGTTCTGTTGGGTGGAAAGTAGAACTTAATAAATAATGAAATACCTAGGAATCAATCTAATGAAAGAAATAAAAGAACTGTACTCTGAAAAGTACAGCACTCTGAAAAGAGAGATCGAAGAGGATATCAGAAAATGGAAAGGCATCCCTTGCTCCTGGGTGGGAAGAACCAATATAGTGAAAATGGCCATACTTCCAAAACTGCTGTATAGATTCGATGCAATTGAAATGCCAACAACATATTTCACAGAACTTGAGAAAACAATCCAAAAATTTATTTGGAACCAGCAGAGACCTAGAATAGCAAAAGCAATTCTAGGCAACAAAGACAAGGTAGGGGGCCTCACAATCCACAATTTGAAACTATACTACAAAGCTACTGTGATAAAAACAGCATGGTACTGGCAAAGAAACAGACCTGAGGACCAGTGGAACAGTTTGGAAGATGCAGAAACAACTCCAGACATGCTCAGCCACCTCATTTTTGACAAAGGAGCCAAACACCCTCACTAGAGGAAAGATAGCCTCTTTAATAAACGATGCTGCAAATACTGGGTTTCAACTTGCCCAAGATTAAAACTAGACCTATATCTCTCATCATGCACTAAACTAAAATTGAAATGGATTAAAGATCTAAATAATAAAGCAGAAACAATAGAAGAGAAGTTAGGTAGAATTCTTGACATTGGTGTAGGAAAAGATTTCACGGACAAAATCTCAGTCATACATGTACTGGGACAAAGAATCAGCAACTGGGAATTTTTTTTTTTGTACCAGGCATCGAACTCAGGACCTTGTGTTTGTGAGGCAGGCAGTGGCACCACTGAGCTAAATCCCCAGCATGGGATCTCACCTTATAAAAAAGCTTCTGCAGGGCAAGACAAACCACCAACGGATTGAAGAGACAACCCACATTGTGGGAGAAAACTTACTAGCTGTTCCTCATACGAAGGTCTACTATCTAGAATCTATAAAGAACTTTAAAAAATCAGACCTCCCAAATTTAAAGACCCAGTCCCAAAATGGGCATCTGAAATAAACAGGCAAAGAAGTAGAAACAGCAAATAAACATGAAAAATTGTTCAGCATCACTGGTCATTTGAGAGATGCAAATGAAAACACTGAGATTCCACCTCACACCAGAAAGAATGGCTGCTATCAAGAAGTCAATAACAAATCCTGGCGGGGCTGTGGGGAAAAAGGATCCCTTCTCCACATTTCGGAGTGTAGACTGGTGGAACCACTGTAGAAATCTGTACGGAGATACCTCAAAGAACTAGGATCAGAGGTCCCATTTGACCCAGCTATTCCCCTGCTGGGTATCATCCCCAAAGAATTGAAAGAATCATACCACAATGATACATGTGCAGCCGTGTTCATAGCAGCACAGTTTGTAATAGCTAAAACTTGGAAACAGCCCAATTGCCCATCAACTAGAGAATGGATAAAGATGTGGTTTTTCTATAAAATGAAGTATTACTCAGCCATAAAGAATGGTAAACTAAAGACATTTATGGCTAAATGGATGCAAATTGAGGCCATACTCTTAAGTGAAATAAATAGGACACAAGTGTAAATACTGAATAGTTTCTGTGGTGTGAAAGTATAAATGAGGATCGAAATGTATAATAGATAATTTGAAATAGAAAAGGTCCAAATGGGAAGGGAAAGTGGAAAGAGGGAAGGGGAAAGGAAAAATATGAGAAAAGAAAACAATGGAAACAAAGTCTTTGTAAGTAGGGAGGGGTGGAGGGGTTGAAGGGAGGGCAGGGGAAGGGGGGAAAAATAAGAGCCAAGATATATCATGTAAAGGTACAAATTCCCAAAGATGAATGTCAGCATATTGTATATCTAAAATATACCGATGAACTTAATGAATTGAAAGAAAGAAAGAATGAAAAGGAACTTCAATATTCAGCTGGAATTTCCAAGCAAGATATGTAAGGTGTGGCCTGAGTTTCTTGCCTCTTAGAGTGAAACACAAGAAGAAATCGAGGAAGGTACTGTTCAGCAAAAAGAAATCAGAATGATTATTTGACAAATTCACAGCCTATCCATACCCATATCGTAAACGATGCCAAGGCAGTTTCTGGAGAAGTCACCAAGTGTGTGGCTGCTGCAGAGCTTAGGCAGTGACCCTGGATCCAGCCAATCGTCCTGGCAGAGTCTAGGATACAGGTCTTCCAGGGAGAGTCCGCGGAGTACCCTGGCGTCTAATGATGTAGATGCCCTGGATATTTATGGAAGATGGACAGATATTTTAGGGACTGTTATGTTAGCAGAAACACTGCCAGCTTGTACCAAAGGAGAGCCAGAGACAGGATGAAATGAAGAAGACTGTTGCCAGGGGCCCAGAGGATGGATGTGACAGAGCCTCTGAGAACCTGGAGCCTGGCTTGTTGGAGCCTGGCTTGTTGGAGCCTCTGCTGGCAAAGGACAGACAGGGCCACAGATTACTCTCTGTCCTTGAAACCTAATGGAAATTGCCTTTTGGGTTGTGAGCTTTTGACACTTCGATTCCTTCCACTTCCTCTCTTTTGGAGTGGGATTGTTTATCCTGTTCTTGTCCCACCACTGTACTGTATTTTGGAAGCTGGCAACTTGTTTTCTACTTTCATTGGTCCACAGATGGAGATGAGGCCAAGATGGGGTCTTATCCATACTTGAGGATTTAAGTTTTTGAGTTGATAATAATTAGGTGAAATTCTGGATTTAGAGTTAATCCTGAAATGGGTTAAGACTTTTGGTAATTTGTCAGTAGGAGAATGTATTTTGAGTGTGAATCATGAGGGACCAGAGGGCAGATAATAAGTCTGTCCTTCCAAAATTCATGTCTAATGGAAACTGATCTTGTAAATAATGACTTTACAGATGTAAACAAGTAAGCACAAGCCCCTGAATTCAAAGAGTGAATCTTTAAAAGGGTAGAGAGACACACACACAGGAACACGGGAAGAATGCCATGTGAAGAGTCAAAGACTGGAGCCATGGGATGCTGAGGGACCCAGCAGAACTTAGGAGGAACGTGAAGCCACATGTGCTGACACCTTGATTTTGGACCTCTGGCTTCCTGAACTATGAGATACTAAATATCTTTTGCTTTAAGTCACTTTCATTATGGCAGCCCTAGGAAACTAACAAGATAGCATTGCTTTTTTCTTTCTCTCTCATAGGCATAGGGTGGAGTTTTCCAAAGGCTATTACTTACTTTAATAAACTGTGGTAGTTTTTCCCACTTTGTTGTTGTTGTTGTTGTTGTTACCGGGGATCAAACTCTGGACCTTGCACTTGCGAAGCAGGTGGTGGCACCACTGAGGTAAATCCCTGGCCCAATTTTTCCCGTTTTTAATTCTAAATTGGTAAATTCTGATCGATTTGACCGACATACACAAAAGTTCTTTGGGATTCTCAGTCGTTTTTAAGAATACAAAAGTAGTCCTGGATCTGAAAAGTTTGAAAACTATTGGCTTAATTATAAATTCCCAAGTCCAAAAGGGGCACCTTGGTGTTTGTGCTACAACTTTTTGGAGAGTAAGATCAACTTTTATCTGCACGATGGAAATAGTGCTTAAAAGAATGATCTTTAGAATCACAAAGTAAGTTAAATTTTTACCTCCACTTAGGATTAACTCACCTCTGTTTCCTTTTATATATAAAGTAGGAAAATTAAATCTACTTTATAGGTAGCAGGACAATTAAATTTGATAGTATATATAAAAAGGCAGCTACAGTATTATAGTTACCGAAAACAAATTTTTTTCATTCAGTCAGGCTAAGTTGTTTATTGATTTCTGGCTGTAAGAAATGGAACAAACATGAAGTCTGAGGCCTTAAATGTGAATAGTTAACAATCAAATTCCCATTTATTACTCACTGGACTTAATGTGGAGAAATATCACAAGACATGAAGAGTCCAAGTGCAGCAGAAGAAATTGTAGACGTCCTTTGGACCATGGGATTTTCTTTTCCCTGAGGGAAATCTTTTGGTCGATTATCATAATTGCTGCTTGTTAAAACTGGTAAAATATTTGTTAAGGAAGGACTGTGATTTTCATGAGAAAATGATTTGTATATTCAAACCAAAATACCATTTTAGAATCAAAATATTATCTATAGCATTGTTAGATCAATTTTAGGTGCTTTTTAAATGCACATTCTACATACACAGGTGTAGGGATTGGAGAGCAAATACCAAGGTTTTCTCCCCAGTTTACATTTCTCTCCTAACTGTGATTGGCCTTTCTATAAAGAGCCATTACCATAATCAGGTCCCAAGCCTTATCAACATCCAGATTTCATTCTTTTTTGGGTGGCGAGAAAGACCCTGGGAAATGGGCTATGAACTATCATTGTTGACACTGGAAGTAGATAAAAGACCCAATAAATTTTTCTCTATTTGTGCTTAATTGACAGTTAGCTCTAAGAAAAGCAAAAGTGCAAAATGAGTTCATTTCTGTAATCAGCAACAGTGATTTAAGAAGCTAGGATCAGCATTTAATAACCTTCTATGAAGAGGGCAAGAGGGCTTGATTCAATTCTCAGGAAAAAACAAAACAAAACTAGTTCTTTGGTTAGTTTTCTTCTGTCATGATGGAAAAACACTTTTTAAAATTGTAATCCTCCTTAATACTCTCTAAACCCCTTTCCTATTTTATATTCTTCTTTGTATTTATTGCCATCATAGACCATATTTTACTTATTTTGTGTGTTGTCGGTTCTCCCACAGGGACGTAAGTTACATAGACAGGGATTTCTGTCTCCTGTTCATGGCTGTGTCCCTGGTGATGAGAACAGCGTCTGACATATTAAAGGCACTTATTGTCCTTGAAAGAATAAGTGAGCAAATGAATTCAACTCCATTTGTATTGAAATCAAACTTATCTAACACAAGTACCCCTAGCTTTTCCCCATCTGAGAATATCTGAATTCTCTACCACCTTCATCCTCTCCTTTTCCAAGCCTAACTCTTAAGCTCCATTTTTTTTTTTTTTTTTTGGTACCAGGGATCAAACTTGTAACCTTGTGCTTGTGAGGCAGGGAGTGGTTCAGCTCTATTTTTAATTATTCTCTTGCCCTCTTTTGGATGCTGCAGTTGCAGTTCTACTCATTCATATGTTTAATATTTTTCCTTTGATCCATTCTTGTCAGCCTACAAACATACTTAGGTCTACTGTAAAGTGAATATCTCACCTTCATTTCATTGTATCCTTGTATCATATTCCCTTGTTCTTTTCTTTAATAAAGTTCTTGAAAGATTATCAATAGCTGATGTTTATGCCTTCTGAACATCCAGTCATTCTTTATCTTTTGAAATTTAGTTTTTGTCCCAAGCAAATCTAATTGTCTTAAATTCTGAATTCATTTTGACATCTCCAGCATAAACCAACTGTGTCCATCTTTTCCTTGAAATCCTTTATACGATTTATTAGGTATTTCATGTTTCATTGTTTGATCTGTCTCCATTGGTGGTTCTTCTTCCTGCTTCCTAAACAGACACCAAATTTCTGCTCCAGTCCTCAACATTCAACTCTCATCACTATGTAGAGGGTACTTAACATCATTTTATCTCCAGTTCTCACTTCTTAACTAAGATATAGTCCTGCATATCTATGATTCATTACCTGAACCCAAAACCTAGGAGCTGAACTCATGTACTCTTTCGTTTTCTCTGTAAATGCATGCCACTTTGGATTTTGCAGTTTCCTCCCCACCCCCGTATCTGCCACCCATATTCCTCACTCACATCTACTGTTGCTACCCTATAGTTCTTGTCCTCATACGTGGCCACTGAAGTAGACTTCCATTGATTCTTTTAGACATCTGATTCTTCAACATATCCTGCACAATAACATAGGGTTCATCTGTATGGAGAGATACTGGTCATATTACCCACTGGATCAGCAATCTTCAATGGTTCACTATTGCTTAAATTATAAAGTATAGACCAGGGATTCAAGAATTTCTATAACTTGACTCCAACCCACTTTCTCACTATATTTCTAATATTCCTTAAGTACTCAGCAAATTGAATTCCCTGTTAACCCTTCCAAATACCAGAGCTTTTCTATTGCCATGGTTTTTTCATCTTTTGTAGTTGAAGTTCCCTTTCATCAAAAGTTTTCTCATTCCAATTAGGGAAACAATCCCTTTTACAATAGCACCCCAAAAAATGAAATATCTAGGAATCAATCTAACAAAAGAAGCAAAAGACCTCTACATTGAGAACTACAGCACTCTGAAAAAAGAGATGGAAGAGGATATAAGACAATGGAGAGACATCCCCTGTTCCTGGGTAGGAAGAACCAATATAGTAAAAATGGTCATACTTCCAAAACCACTACACAGATTCAATGCAATCCTGATTGAAATCCCAACAGCATATTTCACAGAACTAGAGAAAACAATCCAAAAGCTCATCTGAAACCAGAAGAGACCTAGAATAGCAAAAGCAATTCTAGGCAACAGAGACATGACTGGGGGTATCACAATTCCCAACTTGAAACTGTACTACAGAGCCACTGTGATAAAAACAGCATGGTACTGGCAAAGAAACAGACCCAAAAATCAGTGGAATAGATTAGAAGATGCAGAAACAATTCCAGACATACTCAGC